GGAGAAAAACCAAACCAAACCAAAACAAAACAAAAAAAAACAAACAGCACAAAGCCAGGGCCTGAAGTGGCTTGAGTGTGACATGCAGGAGGGAAACTAGGAAGGAAGGGCAAGTCAGAGCAGAGGACCGCCTGAGTGACTGTAAAAATGTTCCATTTCTTTTTTTTTTTTGAGACAGGGTCTCCCTTATATAGTCCTTTTGCAGTGATCCTCCTGCCTCAGCTTCCCAGGTGTGCACCACCACTATTTTGGGTTTTACTCTGAGTTCAATGAGAAGCCATGGGAGGGTTTGGAGCTATAGAAGCAACATCACCTGATGTACACTTTTAAAAGATCTCTGTCATTCATGGAGTCTAGGGAAGCAAAAGTAGTATCAGGAAGGATTATGACAGATGCAATCAGAATTAGAAAGTTAAGGCAACCATCCCGATAAGAGATGAAAGCGGCTTGGGGGATGGAAAAGGGGGATGGAGGGTGGGAAATGGTCTGATGGTAAAGACAAAGAGTCAAGTGGGGTGAGGGTGCATGCCTGCAGTCCCAGCACTCTGGGAGGCTGAGGCAGGAAGATCGCAATTTGGAGCCCAGCCTGGGCACCTTAGCAACTTAATGAGGCCCTGTCTCTAAATAAAAAATAGAAGGTGGAGATGTAGATCAGTTTAAAGTCCCTGGGTTCAATACCCAGTCTTGAAAAAAAAAAAAAAGGTTTTTTTTACATAAATATGTATGGGGATACAGGACAGGAGGTGTATATAGCTCATATCATTACCTGGGGGATTCGAATTTTAACATAAAATGTAAGGGGACCCTATAATTAACAAATCCATCTGTTGCAGAGGGAAAAGACGCCACCGCAACAAGAACACTTGGGACATAATATCTGCAATTATCTCCAAGGACTCTCAGCACTCAGGAGGCTGAAGCAGGAGGACTGCTTCGAGTTTGAGGCCAGCATGGGCTAGAAAGTGAGTTAAAGGCCAACCTAAACTGCAAGCTAAAACCTGTCTGAAAAAAAGAAGAAAAAAAAATCTGACGTTAGGCAGGATGGGGCTCTCCTGTTTCGTAGGGAGACGCAAGCAAAGCACAAGGACAGTTTGACTTTAAGAAATAGCTGAAGCCAGCCATGGTGGCACATGCCTGTCATTCCAGCACTTGGGAGGCTGAGGCAGGAGGATTTCGAGTTCATGGCTGGCCTGAGCTACATAGTGAGTTCATGGCCAGCCTGGACTACATACTGAGACCGTCTAAAAAATAATAATAATAATTTTTAAAATAACTGGATGTGTATTAAACATACACACTTTTTTCCCCTTGTCTTTATTCTCTAACAATGCAGTATAACAAGTGCTTACACTGAATTAGTTCTTACAAGGAATTGAGATCATTTAAAATGTATGGAGAGGGGACCAGGGATATAGCTCAGTGGCACAGTGCCTGCCTGGTAAGCGCAAGGTCCTGAGTTCAATTTCTGGTGCCAAAAAAAAAATTAAAATGTATGAGGGTGTAAGTAGGTTCTGGCAAATACTGTGACATTTATAGAAGGGACTTGAGTATCTGACGATGGTGTCTGTAGGGATCCTGGAACCAATGTCCTTGGATACAGAGGGAAGACTGTACCATTGCTTGGGTAGAAACATATTCCTGACCATTCCAGAGGCTGAGAAATCCAGCGTCAGACACCAGCTGCTATGACACGCTGTACAGGGTTCCTGGGTGAGACAGCACCTTCGGTCTATGACCCATGTGGTGGAAAGGGGTCTCCCTGGGGCCTCGATAAGGGCACTAATCACACGTGTGAGGGATCTGCTCTCAGGACCTAATCGTCTCCCTAAACCCTTCTTTTTTGTTGTTGTTTGTTTTGTTTTGAGACAGGGTCTCAGTATCTAGACCAGGCTAGTCTTCAGCTTGCCTCGATCCTCGTGCACCAGCCTCCAAGTGCTAGGGTTGCAGGCACGTGCCACCACACCAGGTAGAGGCTTCAGGTCATCTCCCTCCTTGTACCGGGTTGCGACTTCCATCTTGACATTCCACCCTGTCCCCCAGATGTCCCAGGCCGGAACTGCCAAGTTTGGTAACAGCTTGGGACAACTGGACCCTAAGTGTGGAGGGCAACCCACAACCCTGGCCTCACACGGCCACGTGGGGAAGGCCTCTCTGCCCCATCTGCTGAGTGGGACAGCGGGGAAGGGACGTGTCCAGCTCTCCTCTGACCCAAGCGCTTCGAGTGAGGGGCGAAGGGGGCCCAGCCTCGCCACCTCTCTGTACTGGCTCCGCCACTGCAGCAGGTGCCCTGCCCTCAAGGCAGGTGGCGAGCGCAGGTCTGGGCTTAGCCACGCGTGCATCCGACCCAGTGGGAATGAAAGTAGCCCTCACGCCAGGCATGGTGGCACTCCGGGATTCCAGCCACTTGGGGGCTGAGCCAGAGGGATCACAAGTTCAAAGCCAGACCAGGCAACTCAGAGGGATGCCCTCGCAAAATTACCAAGTAAAGAGGGCTAGCGGCGGAGCTCGATGGTAGAGTGCCCCTGGGATTGACTCCCAAAGCCACGCACAAAGTTAAAAAAGAAAGTAACGCTCAGAATGGCACCTGCACCTTTCAAGTGGTTCCAACTGAAAAGAAAGAGGTCGTTACTTCCCCGACCCCTGAAACCTGAGCCCCCTGCAGCACCCTGCCAGCCCCTTCTCTCCCCGCTCACTGCCACACAGACCTCCTGGAAAATAAGGTCACGGTCCCGCCGGGCCCAGGCTCTCTGCCTTTCCTGTCCTGCCCCAGCCTCCCTGGGCCGATTTCCCTTCACCACTCACACCTCCGGGCAGTAAGCTGTCCTGCTGTGCGTACAGAACATCCCAGGTCCCCCGTCATTCCTGCTTGTCACCCCGTCTTCCCTGAGCTCCACACAGACCTGGGGCACCTGCTGCGGTGGCCCAGCGCCTGTTAGAAGTGTGTGGGGGGGGGGGCGGGGGCTGTAGAGCGAATAAACAATGCTTTTTTGAAAAATGATCGTGTTTTAATAGCAAAATAATATATGCTGTGAAAAACTTGAAAAAGGCAGAATACAAAATTCAGAAAATACATCTGAGCACCTTCAGGAACATTTCAGTTACGAACGGCACCCTGCCCTCCATCTGCCTGCAGTGCAAGTGGGTACTGAATGCTCGGCGCTCGGGGTGGTGACCCGTGCACCTGCGCGGACCGCCAGGTCCCCCAGCCCTGCGCCCCGCCCGTCCACGTCCAGGTGGTCCTGAGGGTGCCGTGCTGGGGCCCCGGCTGTAGTGTGTAAGGCACTGCAGTCCCCTCGGGAGGGGCTCTGGCCTTCGCGGTTTCCAGATGGACCTGCGCATCCAGAGCCTGGCTGAGCCGAAGGCCACACAGCTGGCCAGCAACGTTGGCGCCGTCTGGAGTCCCAAGACTGGTTTTCTCCACCAGAACCCTCGAGCCTGAGAAACCTCCCTCTTCACTGTGCTGCTCCGAGGGCCAGGGGCTCCAGAGTGGACGCCAGGACACGTCCTGGGGCCTGGCCACGGTCACATCCACCAGTCCATGGACTCTTTGGGGCAGGGCCTGACAATGACCACGCAGTGCGGCAGCCCCTGGCACAGGACCCGCTCGGCCTCCTGGCCCTCCCAGCCCAGCCCCTGCAGCTCGAGCGCCCTCAGCTTGGGCATGGTCAGGCAGGAGGAGATGATCTGGGTGGGAGTGGGCATGTCGGGGGTGATGAGGGGCCCCTGCAGGCACAGACTCTCCAGCGCGGGCATCCCCTCCAGCAGGGCCAGCCCGGCCGGCGAGAGGCCGCCCACGGTGAGGCGGAGCTTGCGCACACCCCGGAGGTGGCGGCTGATGGCCCGCAGGGTGCCGTCGGCCGGCAGAGTGCAGCCCAGCACCTCGAGCCTCTGCAGGTAGCTCAGCTCCTGCAGGCTGGCGTCTAGCCCTGTCTCGGTGACGCGATAGGTGCCGCCCAGCACGAGCGAGCGCAGGGCGCGGAAGCGCGGCAGGCCCTGCAGGTGCTCGTCGCGGAAGGCGGGCACTCGGTCCAGCACCAGGCACTCGAGCTGCGGCAGCACCCGGGGGTCCTGCTCACGCAGCAGCCACGCCATGGAGATCTCGCAGCTGTGCAGCTCCAGTGTCTGCAGCGTACGAGGCAGGCTGGTGATGGGCACCGCGCTCAGATCCGCCACGTGCAGGCACAGGCGCTTCAGGTTGGGGCACTTGTCACCCAGGGCCCTCAGCAGGGCAGGGGACAGCTGGGGCGCCTGGGAGCCCGAGAAGAGGTAGCCGCCCATCCGCAGCGAGTGGAGCCGGGAGGCCATGTAGCGGCGGAGGAGGTGCCACATGACTTTGGGCCGCATCTGGAAGAGCCGGAGGTCCGGGTTACTGGAGGAGAGGTTCGGGGCTCCCCGGGACCAGCCCTGTCTGCTGACAGACACCCTGGCGTGGCTCCTGCTGTCCCCTGGCTTCTGCCCTTCCCCTGCCCAGAAAACAAGACCATCTGACTCACCATCTCGACCACTAACACTTTGGGGTAGTTTTGCTTTTGTTTTTTGAGATAGGGTCTTGCTATGTAGCCCAGGCTGGCCTTAAACTCACAATGACCCTCCTGCCTCAGCCTTCCTACTGCTGAGATTACAGGTTGTGCCACCATGCCAGGCTGGAGGGCTAAGACTCTGAATAAATCCAGTGGGGGAAAGGTCCAGACACATCTGACTTTGGCAACAGAATGGATTCCTGTTATCTTCTGACCTAAAGCCAAGGAAGCTTTTACTTAACACGTCCTCTAGGAGAAATAAACTACATGGAGTAAGACACAAAAAGTCTAATAGGCCTAAGTTAAAAAAAAAAAAAAAAAAGCTCCAGGCATGGTGGCACACACCTGTAATCCCAGCATGCAGGAGGCTGAGGCAGGAGGCAGCCTAGGCTACACAGTTAAGTTCAAGGCATAGTGAAACTCTGTCTCAAAAAACAAACAAAACAAAAGGCACAGTCCGGTGACAGTGAGAACTATATATAGTAACTGAGAAGTTGGTAGAAAACAAAAAATAACCAGTAACACGGTGTATTCCAGTGCATGTACTTTTTACCCTAGGAAGAAAAGAAACTGCACAGCCTAAACCTTCCGTTAATTTACCTAATTTTTTTGTGCTAGGGGTGGAAAACAAGACCTCATGCACGTTCAGCATAGGATCTGGCACTGAGCCAAAGCCCTAGCCCATAAACTTGTAATTGGTTGCCTGCTTTTGACACAGGAATCAAATCTTCCTGGACAAATTTATTTATTTTGTTATTTATTTTGTTTTTTTGAGACAGAGTAGTTTTTGAACTACACTATGTAGTTCAAAAATTTGAATTTGTGGTGATCCTCCTGCCTCAGCCTCCCAAGTACTGGGATTACAGGTATGCACTGCCACACGTGGCTTCCTGGCCAAATTTAGACCTGCAGATCTGGCCCCCTGGGGCATGACTCACTAGAAATACTGGTCACTCACGTGCAAGGGCAGAAGCCACAGTCAGCAAACTATAAAATGGGCACAAGCCAGTGGACAAAGGCAATTCTTCCTTGCAGAACAATGGATGAGGAGACACTTCTAAGCTTCCCAATATCAAATGCGAGCTCCAAAGTAGAGCAGCATATTTTCTCAGGTTGCCGGAGGCAACTGCTCTGGCTTTTTAGCAAAGCAATCTGGGAGTTTCTGTTGAAAGTTAAAATGTAGAAAATTGCTGCCAACTATTTTATCTTCAAAGAACACAGTGAGCTGTCTGTACTGGTGGCTCCACATGGCCGGATCGGACCAACTGTGGATCAGAAACAGAAACATTCAGAGAAAAACCTGTGTCTGTACTGAATACGTGCGGGCTTTTGTTTTTGTTTTTCTGTTTTTGAGGCAGGGTTTTGCTATGTAGTCCCGACTGGCCTCAAACTCCTGGCGATCCTCCTGCCTCAGCCTCTTGAACTCTGGGATGACACGGGAGTGCCACTACACCCAGCTAGATTATTTTTCTTGTCATCACTCCTAAATAATAACGTAGAACACCTATTTTCACAGTACTGACATTATGTTAGGTACACTAGGTCACCTAGAGACATTAAAGTTTCCAGGAGTACATGTGAGGGTCTATGCAAATCCTATACTACTTTACAGAAGGGGTCTGAGCATCTGGGAGCGTCCCAGGACCCATCCCCGTAGATGCCAAGGGCTGACTGAATATGCACTTGTTTGTGTTTCTAGGGTACATAAGCAATGGGAACATGTGCTGCCTCTGGGGAGAAAGAATAGGACAACTGGCAGACAGAAATAGGAAGGCCAGCCGGCCGCGGCGGTGCATGCCTGTAATCCCAGCACTCGGGAGGCTGAGGTAAGGCGATCGCTTAGAGTTACAAAGTGAGTTCAAGGCCAGCCCGAATTGCATAGTGAAACCCTGTCTGAAAAAAGACCCAAGAAATCACCGGTAGGCACTAATATCTGGGAGAATTAAGATATGTTATGTACATGAACCAACCTGCCACGATGAATGTAACCACTAGGTGCTGCAAACACGTACCAGTAAAAATACCTGATAACAGAACCATAAACTATCATGTAATCTGTGCTGGTATTTGCCAGACACGGTTCTGTAAGCCTTTTTGTAAGCCCTGCACGAACTCGGTGAACTCTCACAGTAGCCCCGACAGGCAACTGTAAAAGTTGGTGTTATTACTATTCTTATTGCTTTGCTTTTTGAAACAAGAGTCTCGCTCTGTAGTTCGGGCGAGCCTCGAGCTCGCGACGATCCTCCTCCCGCCTGCGCCCCCCGAGTGCTGGGATTACAGGCGGCGCGGCGCCGGAGCCTGAACCCAGGGTCTCGGAATCATCGTTTATCTCCATTTCTTGCACAGGGAAACTGAGGCCTGGAGACTGCAAGGCAGCAGGTGAGCGACGGCGCGGTGTCAGGCCCCCAGACCGCTCGGTGGAAACCCTCAAGCCTGGGGCCCCTCCCCAGGCGCCCCCGAGTCCTAGACTTCCGGCGCCGCCGCAGCGGGAGGCGGCGGTCGCGGCCCCGCCCCGCCCGGGCACCCCGTACCGTGTAGAGCGTCAGGTCCACGTGTCGCCACAGCCATCGGTCGTCCACCAGGCGCTTCCAGTGGTGACAGACCCTGGGGGAGGGGACCGGCCGTTAGAACGAGCCCGGCCCCGCGGGGCCCGCGTCCGCGTCTCGCGGTGAGGCCCCTGCCCGGCTCTGTCCCCCCGGGGCGCGGGGCCGCACCTGGAGATGCGGATCCGGTCCCGGACCGGGAGGTAGGCGAAGATCTCCAGGAGGACCGAGTCCGGCAGGTCCGTCACGGTCGCCATGATCGCGCCGCGTCCGCCCGCTTCCGGTCGGGCGCACCGGAAACTCCCCTTGGGGGGCGCTGGTAGGGGGGCAAAGGGAGACCCCCGAGGGCGGGCGGGCGATGGCGGCCACTTCCACTAGCTGGCCAGGAAACGCCACTTTCTTGTGACAGGGACCCGGCTGAATCCCGGGGTCGAACCGGTCTGAGGCTCCGCTGTCCGGGCGAGTGACTCACGCGGACTTCGCCGGGCGTGCCGGGGGCGGGACTTGGGGCGGGGCGCGACAGAGCGGGCGCGACTGGGCCCGGGGACTAAGCCTGTAGAGCGTGGCTTGGGCGGGGTGAGGCCCAGCAGGCGGAGTTGAGGGGAAGCCAAGGACAGCCTCAGGCTTGCGATTGTGCCGCTGAGCTGTATCCCCAGCCCATGAGGCCAGCCTCAGAAGGCGTGGCTCGGACAGGAGGTACGGTGGGCAGCGAGGACTAAGCGGGAGGGCGTAGCTTGAGGGGCAGACCGGGCTAGCAGGGGCGTGGGCGGGGCTGGGAAGGAGTGCGAAGTTGTAAGGCGTGGCTTGGGCGGGGCGAGGCCTGAGAGGCGGGGCTTGACACGGCAAGGCCGAGCTCAGAAGGCGGGTGATTGGGCGGGGCTAGCTAGGGGCGTGGTTACGCCCTGCGGTGAGGACGTCGCTTGGAAGAAGTCCGGCGCTTGGCAAGACCGGGGGCGTGGCTGGTGCGGAGAAAGCCTATAAGGCGTCGGGGGACTGGGCTGCGGAGGATGGCGCGGGTGGAGGGGCGGGGCGAGCTCGGAAAACTCAGGGCCGCTCAGGGCTGAGAACCACGCCTGTGGCCGGCGGTATCGCTGAACCGTACGGGCGCGAGCTTCTGGGTTTGATCCCTGGCACCGCAGTAAAAGGTGAGGGACAAGCCTGGAAGACGCGGTCGGCATGGGGACAAGGCCCTGGGGAGCGACAGGGACGGGACTGGCGAGGCCAGGGAAGACCTTCAAGCCCTGGAAGGTGCAGAACCTAGGATTGGGATCAAGCCAGGACGGGTGCTGAGGGTAGGGGGCTGAGCCGGGGAGCCGGGGCAGCAGCGGGGCATGGCCGACAGCGAGACAACTGCTTTTTCGCCTCCTCAAGGCTTTTTGATGTCCACGCACGAGCATTCGTTTATGTAAGTGGCATAGCTCAAACGCCCGTTGAAATTTTTGATTATTCTGGCATACTGTTCTCCACAGATTGTCTTGAGTCGACACTCCCACCAAATAGCTAGATCACTAAGTTTAAAAATAGCAATTTGTGACCTGGGTTCCAGCCTCAGCCTCCTGAACTCTGGGATGACACGGGAGTGCCGCTGCTCGCCTGTAATCCCAGCACTGCGGGAGACTGAGTCAGGAGGATTAAAAGTTCAATTCCCACCTGGGCAACTTCGACCCTGTTTCAAAATTTAAAAAAAAAGGGGGGGCCTGCTGGAGATGTAGCTCAGAGGTAGAGCAACCCTGGGTTTGAGCCCCAGTACCAAAAATAACTGTAAAAGTAGTTTTATTCAAATATTCTTTTATTGATGGGCATTCAAGTTTTTTCCAGATATGTTACCAAAAATAATATGGCAGCTAAGTGTTCTCTTATATAAACATATGTACCCACATACACACATGCTGTTTTTATTTCTGTAGAATAAGTCAGGTTGGTGAGTCAGAAGATATGAGAAATTTAATTGTGAATTCATTTCTCTAAATCACTCCACCCAGAACCTATAATGGCAGTAAATATATTTTCAACATATACATACACACACAAAAGCAAAAATCAGACACGTTGAAACTGTTTTAAAAAGAAGTCTTAGGCTGCAACTCAGTAGTAGAGTGCCTGCTAATATACACGTGGCTCCGAGTTCAAACACTGGAGAATACGGCTGTACCACCGTGAACGTGCCCAATCTCCTCTGAGTTCAAACAGTGCAGTCTACGGCCCTACCACCCTGAATGTGCCCAATCTCCTGAGTTTAAACACTGGAGTGCGCACGCGTGTGCACACACACAAAATGCATATGCTTACACTTAAGCACAGATATCAAGTAAAACACTGGTTTTTCTTCTTTTTTGTTTTGTTTTGGTGCTACTGGGAATTGAACTCAGGGGCACACTACCACTGAGCTATCTTTTTTGGAGACATGGTCCCACTAAGTTGCCCAGGCAGGACTTGGTTTTCTTTTTTTTTTTCCAGGACTGGGAATCGAACTCACGACCTTGCGCTTAGCCAGGCAGGAGCTGTGCCACTGAGCTAAATCCCCAGCCCCAGGACTTGGTTTTCCATCATCCTGCCTAAGCCTCCCTGAGTGCTTCAATCACAGGAATGTGCCACCACGCCGTTTCAAACTCTTAATCTTTTCTAATTTGGTAGGAAAAAAACCCAAGCCAGGCACAATGGTGCACACTTGTAATCCCAACACTCTGGGAGGCTCGTGCAAGAAGATTGCAAATGTGAGTCCAGCCTGGGCAGCTACTGACTTTGCGAGGCCCTGTCTCCAAATAAAAAATAAAAATAAAGAAAATGGCTGGGAATGTAATCAATGGTAGAACATTTGCCTAGCCTGCATGAGGACTCCCTATCCCCAGTAACACGCACACACACACACCACAGATAAAGTGATTTATGATTCACAGTTATGACCACAGAGAGAAAGACCAAAGGAACTGCACGGGTCAGTCATGTCACACACTCCTGAGCTGCTGGTCCAGGAACTGCCTACTTCCACAGTCTTTGTAGTGAGAAAAAGTCATTTATGTAGGCAACTATCAGCTGAAGCTAAGCACTCCTAGTAACTAATCCTTCCTGGTAACTGATTGCTTCTAGGCCCTTCCCTCCGCCTGGCCAGGTAGTGAGAGAAGAAGAGGAAGGGGTGGAGCCCTGCAGCCCCTTTGAGGGTATACTCCAGTGATATGAAGACCTCCCACCAGGCCTGACCTGTTAAAGGTGCCATCAACTCCCAGTGGCACCAAAATAGCAATCTATTTTGTTAATTTTTTTTATTATACATTTGGAATACAATAATTATATCCATTGAGGGCAGTAGGTATATGTACCTAACACATCTTAATATTTTTTAATTCCCTTTCTCTCCCTTCCCCCATCTCAGGGTCCTCTTCCCACTTACAAAAATCTATCTCTCTCTTTCCTGTTGTCTGTCTTTTCTTTGGCTCCTTAAGGTATTTATACTTTAGGTTTCTCATATAAAAGAAGTTATGGTATATTGAAGCTTATGTGTCTGATTTCTTTTAACATTATGATCGCTAGTTGGGCGTGGTGGCGCACATGTGTAATCCCAGCACTCAGGAGGCTGAGGCAGGAGGATCACCAGGAGTTAAGAGGCCAGCCTGGGCTATGCAATGAGTTTAGGGCCACCCTGCACTACAAAATGAGACTCTGCCTCAAAAAATCAAAACCAAAAACATGGTTTGAAGATGCCTCCATTTTCCTACAAGTGACTCACATTTATTCTTTATGGCAGAATAGTACTCCATTGTGTATAAATACATTTTCTTTATCCATTCATCTGTTGATGGACATATAGGCCACTCCCAAGATTTAGCTATTATGAGTTATGCTGCTGTAAACATGAGGTCACTACGCATGGGTCACTGTGGTGTGATGTCTTTAACTCTCGCGGGAAGATCCCTAGGAGGGGAATAGCTGGGTTGAGTGGAATTTCTAGTTGTATCTACTCCAGGAACTTCCAATTTTCCCCTACCGCTTCCCTAGGATGGCTGGGGCCCTCCTGACCCGCCTGACCCCTCAAGGAAGCTGAAGGCAACAATCTCAGGTTTCACGTTCCTGTTCTCTCTGCAGCACTCCTTACCCTTTTCCAATCTCCCCCAACCCACAGCTCAGATCACCACCCTGAGCTTGCTCAATCTTTGAATCAAATCCTGAGAAATTAGAATTTAAAAACCAACATCTGCCCTTCCCCATTTTACAAATTGACCACCATCCAATGTCAACCACCAGGGAAAACACCAAAGAGCATTAAGAAGAAAATAAGGCTGTCAGTAACGCCACCACCTGGCAGCAGCCACTGTCAAGGCCTTCCTTGTGCGACCCAAGATTTCTAGTAACTGCTGCTGAGGACCAGCCTGACACAGTACAAGCAGGCAATAATTAATGGTAATAACTGGCACCAAAATAAATTGAGAGTCTGTCCTGGGCCTACATGACTTGTGGCGAGACCCCCGGCTGGCTTAAGGGCAGATTAATCTTTAAGTCAACGGCCAGAGCAGAGACTAGCAAACAGCCTGTGAAATTCTGGCGCCTCAAAGCAAGATAAGACGGCAGCTGAGGACTGTGACTCACGCAAATTTCATCTAGTTAACCCTGATCTGTTCCAGTGCGATTTTCCAAAAATGCATTGTTCCCCAATTCCTAAACCTTGACCACATCAGTTCACCCCTACTGCATCCTGCAGCCCACGAGCAACCCCCCCAGTCAAGCTGTACCCCTAACAAAGGCCGAAGACACGGTGCCTCGTGGTCCCTAGCTCGTCACTGGGCTATGACCATCCTGGTGCCCCTTGTAACTGAAATACATGTTTTGTCTGTGTTTTATTCTGTCGTCGTACTGCTGAGCAGGAGATCAGCGGTCCCAGGCCAGGGCCCCAGTAGACTGCAAACATGTGCTGCTTTTAAACTTATAACAATGCTACAGTGGGAAATGTTATCCCTTTTCCAGAAATGAGACCCAGAGAGAGGCATTTTGTCTAATACCATACCGTTTACTTATTTTATTTATTTATTTTTCCTTTTTTGAGACAGGATCTCCCTATGTAGTTCAGCCTGGTCTTGAACTCACTAGTTCAGGCTGACCTCCAACTCAAGGGAATCCTTCTGCCTCTCAGCCTCCCAAGTACTGGGATTACAGGTGTGCGCCACCATGCCCAGCCAGAGAGGGTTATTATAAAAACTGAGCCTCCATAGCCTCTGCATCCCTCTCTGGCCCTTTTCTGTCTTGCCCTGTGATTTCTTCTCCACAAACTCTCACCTTGTGATGCTATCTCACGAGGCTCTCACCAGAGGCCAGATACGTGGCTGTTCAGGTTTTGGACTTCTCATTTCCAAATATTTGAGCTAGGGAAAACTCTTTGCTCAATAAAACACCTGAGGCTGAGGCAGGAAAATCGTTAGGGGTTTGAGGCCAGTCTGGGATACACAGTGAATCCCAGGCCGTCCTAAACTGCACAGAGAAACCCAGTCTCAAAATAAAAATAGAAACAACCCACTCTGGTGGGAACTAACTCACTCCTCCAGACCAACATAAATCCCTTCTGAGGTAGCACCCTAAAGATCCAATCACCTCCCACTAGGCTCCAACCCTCCCCCGACTGAACCCAGGGAGTGTTGTGCTACATCCCCAGCGCCCCACCCCACCTCCTTTCAATCTTATTTTGAGACAAACTGTTTAAATTGCCCAGGCTGTCTTCCAATTTGTGATCCTCCTGAGTAGCTGGATTACAGGCTTGCATCACTATACCCAACGACGCTCTAAATCTTCAAGCTTTCACCACTCCCTGAATCACTACAGTGAGACCCAAGCTCCTAACACAGGCACCCTTGGGAGTCACACTCAACCACAGCACAGCCTACCTGTCCTTTCCACCACACGGCCTCTCTGGTCTTCCACCTAATCTCATATCCTAGTTTGAGACGGTGGCTTGGGCAGGTAAAAAGTGGTGGCCTCGTTTCAGAATGAATCAGCTTAGCCTCACGGATCTGGAATCCTTTGTGGTGAGCAGGGATCCTTCAACAGGTCCCCTGGCACAAGTTGTCTGGTTGAACTTGGGGGAGAAGGGAGCAGTCCCACCAGCCCTGACGAAGCTGAGTCTGGGTACAAAAGTTTCCCAGATGCTTTTGCAGTCGTGTCGTTTCCAGCTTTCTTAGGGCAAAGGCAGATGGTGCGCAACGTGGACTCTAGTCCAGGATCAGGCTTCGCTTATCCACTGGGTCTGTATCTCTGATGTCCCGAGGGACTGACGCGATAGCCAGAGGGGAGAGCTGAGCAGAGGTCGAAGCCAGGGGGCCGGACAGGGTGAGCGCAGGACTCGATTCCTGGTCCCCGCGGCCCCGAAGCTGCAGTGAGCAGCTGCGTCGGGCTCAGGAAGGCGTCATCTCCGCCGCTGGACCCTCTGGAGACAGCGAAAGCGCCTCCAACAGCTTCCGAGGCGCTGATCGTCGGCCTCTGATTATCCCTCCAAGCACCTACATCCGTCGGAACCCCCGCTCGAGCCCCTATGCCCACCTCGCCCAGTCTCAGGACGCCCGAGCCAGGCCGCCGAATCACAAGCCCACACCTGGCCCCGCCTCGCCCGGAAGCCGGAAGCTCCGGACTCGGTGCTGATTGGCGCCCCATTACGTGGGGGCGTGAGCTTCCGGTCTCGCCCTTCCGCTTCCGTTTCCCAGCTAATACCTGGGCTCAGCGTTCCAGCGAAGAGGCTGTACCGTCGGCAGGTTCGGGGTGATTCGAGGTGAGCGGGTAAAGCGGAGAGGCCTGGAGTCCGGGAAGGTGGCCGGGACCGGGCCACTCAGCGTCTGCGAGCGGGCGGGGGAGGTGAAGCCGGGGCCGGGCCTTCGGGTGACGTCACGGGGCGGCCGCCCGGTGCCCCGGGTCCTGGGACGCAGGTCCGGAGGGTTCGGGGCGCTGAAGGGCGGTCTCAAGCGGAACGCTTAGGGCCTGGAACCGGGGAGACTTGTAGGCTGGGGTTTGGGGGGGCCTGAAAAACCCCGGAAGTCCTGACTCTGTCTCCTCCCACCCCTTCCCTGGGCAGCTTCGGCCAGGATGATCGAGGTTGTTTGCAACGACCGCCTAGGGAAGAAAGTCCGCGTTAAGTGCAAGTATCCGCCGATGGCCGAGGGGCGGTGGTCCCTGGGGGTGCTAAACACGAGGCGGGCACCGCGGGGTGTGTTGTAGGTAGCTGCAGTTAACCCGGGACAGGGGTGGGTCGGGCCCTGGCGCAGTGTAAGGTCTGCAGCCCTGGAGTGTTACCTTCCTCGCTCTGCCTCTCCCTTGCATTTGCCTTAACTCCTCCGCGCCCAGCACCGATGACACCATCGGGGACCTTAAGAAACTGATCGCGGCCCAAACTGGCACCCGTTGGAACAAGATCGTTCTTAAGAAATGGTGAGTGCTGTGTTAGAGGGAGGGGCCCGACCCGGCCAGAATTAGTCCAGGGGAGCGCTCGCTGCAGGCAGCCCTTTGCTGAGCGCTTAGCCTGCTTCTGTTAGGCGTCTTGCTGAAAGGTGTCTGTCCCGTAGGTACACGATTTTTAAGGACCACGTGTCTCTGGGGGACTGTATCCTTTGCGTGACTTGAGGAAGATCTACATACCAACCCTAGTTGTCTTTGTTCTGTACTGAAACTTGTATGAAATTCAACACCAATAACTTAGACGGGTGAGTTCTGAGAAATGGGAGCCTTGTTTATTTTGTTGAGGAGGGTGGTGGTTGGCCCGTGATGTTTGACTTGGACATTTATCACTGAGGTCCACCTGAGTGTTGGACAGGGGGCCAGAGTGGAGTGAGACTCGGGCACATCTGTTACGCAGGAGGAGAAGGAACTGTTTTTATAATTTGTATTCTCTCCTAATCAAAATGGCTCGGTCCCAAATGGCTTCCTTAGCCAGGAGCCGAGGGCTCAGGGCACCTGGATGGATCTGTGATGGGATGAGGGGTGGGGATGGAGCCCCCAGGGAAGATTCCTTAACACCATTACTCAGATGAAATCCATGATGGGATGAACTTGGAGCTTTATTACCAATAGAGTAGAACTCCTCCCCCTTGTCCTGCCCTCCTCTCCCACCCTCCCCTCTCACACTAGTATGAATGCCTGTTTTTAAAAACTCACCTTAATAAAAACTTAGATGATGCTTTGTGGTTGTCCTCTTTGCTGAGAGCTGGCTTACGGGAGGGTTGAATCTCTCTGGTTATCACTATGGCATCAGAACGAGGCATCTTTCCTATGTGTGTCTTTTTGATATAGGTTTTCACTATGCAGTTCAGGCTGGTCTTGAATTCACTTTGTAGCCCAGGCTAGCCTTGGACTTGCAGCAGTCCTCCTGCCTCAGCCTTCCAAGTGCTGAGATTTATAGGTGTGCTCCACCTTCCGGGCCCAGAATGAGGCATTTTAATAAGAGCTCAGAATAGACTAGATCCTGGATAAGGGAATGGGGATCTGGTAGAAATTTGGCTAGCATCTGTGAGGCTCTTGGCTTGAGCCCAGCAAAACAAACACACACAGAGAAATAGATTGCATTAGCAAGGCACAGGGCCAGCAGAACCAGAGCCCTGGAGTTTTCAATGAGTTTCTGAAGGTGAAGACCCTGGGATTATTGTTGCCCTAACAGACCATGGAGCCTTTGGGTTGGGCAGTAGGAATGAACTAGCAATACAGGATTCTGTTTTGGATAGACCGTGGGTTGAATGTCAGCTGTATTACACAATAGCCAAGGGACTGTGGGCGTGTTACTTAATCTCTCTGAACTAGGACTTGAGTTTCCTCTCTAGAACTGATGGACTTTAGCTAGGCATGGTGATGCACGCCTGTCATCCCAGCACTGAGGAGGCTGAGGCAGGAGGATTACTGTGAGTTCCAGGCCAGCCTGAACTACAGTGTGAGACCCTGTCTGCTTCATTGGCGTGTTGTGAAGGGTAGATTACAGCTGTATAAGTACCCACAGTTCCTGCCTGTGATTGTACAAATGAGACCATGAGGCTGATGTACTCACCTGTAATCCCAGCTACTTGGGAGGCTGAGTTCGGAAGATGGCACATTCAAGGTCAGCATGTGTAATTTAGGAAGATGCTGTCAGAGATAAATAAAAAGAGCTGGGGATGTAGCTCACTAGTAGAGCACCTCTAGCTTCAGTCCCCAGTACTCCTCAAAAAAAGAGACCATAGTTTCAGGGGAACAAGGAGACTACGGCCCCGGCTATAAAAGCCCTCCCTGAAGAGTCAGACTGACTGTATTTTGACGGCTCACAGCAGTGGGATTTGGGGAAAAACCCTCGGATCCACAGGTTCCTCTATAAAGGGTGCTGCGATGGTCCCCCGTGCCAGTGAGAGGTCTCCATGGAAACAGCAGCATGCTGTGCACCTGCCTGGGTTATCTCCAGTCTCTCCTCCAGGTGTGAACAGACAGGAGGCCAGGTGCCCCCTCCCTTGGTCACAGATCCTGGATTGACTGTGGCTGAGTTTTCACAGACCCAGAGAGCTCCCTGGGCTGGTCTCACCCCCAAGCCTGTCTTCCTGCACCATGGGCCCCATGGAGCTCAGTCATGTTCAAGTCGCTCCTGCTCCTGTCCCCACGTGGCACCCGCTTCCACCCACCTCTCAGGCGGTGGACCCGCTGCTGCGTGGCATGCTGTTGCCCTGTGGCACTCCGGGTCGCTCTGCTGCGTCGTGCGGTCACCTCCCTCCCAGGTTGCGGTGTCCTCCTGTCTTCAGGGTGCCTTGCCCTCCTGATGCGTCACAGCTGTCTCAGTACCCTTGCTCTTCCTGCTCTTAAGCTGTGTCCTTCTTCGCCGTCTGGTTGGAAGCAGACAATTTCTTATTTCCATGATGGGTTTAACAGTGTGATTCCTTAATTTCACATCAGCATGGAAATGTATAAGATAGAGATAAAGCCCTTTTCTACCCTAGTATCTCTCCCAAGGTGAGGCCTTTTTTAATGCCTTTATGTAAACTTCAATTTTGTTTTGAAAAGAGGACTATGACTGGGCGTGGTGATGCACACCTGTGATCCCCGCACTCAGGAGGCTGAGGCAGGAGGATCACTAAGTTCAAGGCCAGCCTTGACCACGTAGTGAGACTCTGTCTCAAAACTAAGTAAATAAAAATATTAAAAGATGGCTATGTTGGGGGGGTGGTGGATGTTAGCTCGGTGATGTGTAGCTCTTTCCTAGCATGCCCAAGGCCTTGGGTTTGATCTCCAGCACCAGAAAAAGAAAAACAAAAAAGATACTTTATACTGAGGTCTGCTTGTAAAAAGAAAATCCAAGCATTTTGTTAAAGGTTTAGTTTCTTATTTCTGACACCACACCTCCTGCCAGTGACAGTCATTAGCAAATTTGGGTGAATTTAGGAATTGCCTGAAATAGCGTAGGGTTTTCATGCAAAAGGAGTAATTATACCTCCTGTAATCCTCATTACTATTCAGGAGCTTGTTATTTTGTGCTTTATGTCTTGATATTTTCTCATAAATTATCTGCCTCATTCTTTTTAATTAGTATTTTTATTTATTTTGGATTTTGGATTTTTTTTTTTGCCTTTTTTTTGCCTTTTTGAGACAGGGTTTCACTGCAGAGTTCAGGCTGGCCTGGAACTGACTTCGTAGCCCAGGCTGGCCTTGAACTGTAGTGATCCTCCTGCCTCAGCCTCCCAAGTAGTGGGATTACAGGTGTTTGCCACCACGCCCAGGTTTTTTTTGTTGTTTTTTTAGATTTTCAAAACAAGGTCTCACTTTGTATTTCAAGCTGGCCTTGAACTCAGATGTCTCCTGGGCTATCCTCTCACAATGATCCTCCTGTCTCAGCCTCCCACGTGCTGGGATTACACGGGTGCGCCACCACACCTGGCCCTGTCATTAGTATTTTTATTTGCTAATTTTTTTTAGCTAATATAAACGGGTACTAGAAAGATTGTTTGCTTGGTTGGGTTCTGTTTTTTTTCTTTTCATTTTTCAATACTATGTATCCAATCCTAGGCCTCACACATGCTAGCAGGCTCTCTAGCACTGAACTACACCCCATCCTGCCTCTGAAGCCTCTGCCGGACCTAACTTGCAGTGAATAAAACACTGCAAAGGATGGGCCATCACTTCGGAAAAGGTTTGCTATGAGGCTGTGGCTTTGTCCTGATCCTGCTTCCTCCCTGCTCTGCCTTGTCACACACTGCCTTAGCCCGCTGGGAACTCAGCCGTTAGTCCAGCATCTCTTTAGCAACTGCATCCTGCCAGCAACCCCCTGGGCTGGCTTGGAGACAGATCCTGCTGCACTTAAGCCTTCAAATGAAAACACAGCCCCCACTACCAATACCAGCTAAACTGCCTAACGTCATAGAAAACTGAGGTAAGAAACGCTGACCCTTTCAGCTGCTGGGTAGCTTGTTAGGCAGCAGTAGAGACCTTAATGGAAGCAGCATGTGCTTCAGTATCATCTGCCACCTGGTACCATGCACTGAGGAGTGCGCACACTCTCTGCCATGTCCTTCTGCACTCAGGAGGCTGAGGCAGGAGGATCAGGAGTTCAAGGCCAGCCTGGACTATGTAGGAAGACTATCTCACAAAAAAAAAAGTTGGAAAATGGAGGAAGCAGAAAGTCTGAAGTTCAGTAGTTAATAGTATTGTACCTATGCTGGTTTCTTTTTTAACTTTTTTTCCATGCTGATTTCTTATGTGTGATCATCTTTCAATGGCATGGTTTCTCAGCATTGGCGGTACAGGTATTCTGAGTGGCTGATCGGTCGTGTAGACTGTCCGGTGCATTGAAGGATGTTTAGCAACATCCAGGCCCTCTGCCCATTAAATGCCAGTAGCATGCCCCTCTCCCCAGCTGTGACAACCAAAAACTGTCTTGAGACATTGCTAGATGTCCCCTGGCGAACAAAATTCAGACTCTCTTCTGTTACATGTTTGGTATTTAGTGTGTGGTGCTGGAGATGGAACCCAGTACTTATACATACAGGCAAGTGCTCTACC